ACAACTGAACAATGGTGAAATAAGGATTTCTCTCTCTTGTTCTATTAAGACAGTACTTCATCTCAGCAGTTGTCGTAACTTAATGTACTTAAAGACAACTTTATCCTCACTAGTCCTCTTCCCCTTACCCTCAAGTCTTTCCTCTCTTCAATTTTTTATGCCTTTTCCTAGTTTTGGTGTTTTGCTTAATTTATTTGTTCCATTTTCTTTCTTCTTTTTATCTAGTTACTTCTCTTTTTTTTTCCCCTCTCAGTTAAGTAAAATCTCCCTATTGTCCTCTTCAATGTGTTTTGTTTGTTGGTTTTCAATTTCATTTTCAATGTCTTTTTCTATAATGTATTTTTCCCTCATCCTCTTCATTATTTATCTTCTTTTTCTGTCTCTTCTAGACTTTTATTCTTTGATTCATGGTCATTATACTTAATTATTCCTTCTTTAGTCTCTGTATTCTTTGTGGAATTAAAGTTTTTAGAGTACTTATTTTGAGTTCCCTCTTCTATAGTTTCTACATATGAAATATTGTAGATCTTTCCCACTAGTCCACTTTTTCTGTTGTGCCTCACTCAGAAATACTAATTCCTGCAGGTGATACAGAGAACAGAATATTGTCCAAAGGGAGGAATTTCACTATGCCCCTAATCATGCAGTTTATTAGTGCCTTTTTGTTTCCCCATGAATATTTTCTCCCATTTGCCATGAAATCACTTCTCTAAGTCCCTGCCCTCCCTCTCTTCTGGGTGTTGGCTGACCCTAGGAGCTCTGATTTCCTTTCTTCTGAGGTAGCATAAGTGCTCTATCTAAACACCCTTCAATTCTGTTATTTAATTTCCAAGAAAACATTGAATCACCTGGAGGTGGGGTATTGTGAGGTCTGGCCATGATGTCTCAGGCCTGTTTTCCCATTACTTCTTTTATGTTAGCTTCCACTTTCATTCTTCTCTTTTTATGTACTTTAAGTAAGATATCTCTTAATTGTCTCTCTGGAGTTCTTTTTTGGTTGTCCTTGGTTGCTGTATTTGTGTATTCCTTTCATTGCTGCTCTCTAGAGTATTTGAAAAGCAAATAATTTGTTCAGATCTGGTTTTCCTGTAGGGATGCTTTGAATTCCTCTTTTTTATTTAACATCTATCTTTTTTTTTCATTAAAAGTTAGGCTAAGGTTTGCAGATATGTCACCTTGAGGCACAAGGTGCTCTTTGGAATACATTATTCAATTCCCTGATGCAATTTCTGCTAAGTACAGAATAGTCCTGATTAATTCAGATTTCTTTTCCTTTATATTTGAAGGTCTTTCTCCTGGTTGCTTGCAAAATTTGTTGTTTGCCATTAGAATTGTTAAATTTAACTACCATATATCTTAGAGTCTGAAGCTATGGTTGTTGTTGTTTTCCCTTGGAAAATGATCTATAGTTTATTTTAATTGTAATCTTTTTTTCTGTGTTCAGAAGCTCTGGGTTGTTTTCTTCTATTATTTCTTGAATTCTGGGGTTCAAGTTTTTGGACTTGTGTTCTTCTGGGAGGTTCATGATCCTTAAATTGTCTCTACACATCCTATCTTGAAGATCAACATGTTTTGCTGGTATGGGAATCATATCTTCTTTTAACATTATTGCTTTTTTGCTTCTCTCCTTCTAGATTCTTCTTCTATGTATTTGTATTCCCAAGCAGCTGTTCTATCTTTTATTTCTTTATTGTGGTTTGCTACTGTGTTTCAAGTTTTTCTATTCTATTCTAATATATTCTTTTCTAGTCTAATAATAATAGCTAAAAATCACATTTGTATAGAGCTTACTATGTGTCAGGCACTGTGCTAAGCACTTTATTATCTCATTTAATACGTATTTACACATATTATCTCATTTAACCCTCACAACAACCTTGGGAGGTGCATGCTATTATTATCCTCAATTTGCAGAAATTTAGGCAAAAACAGGTTAAGTGGCCTGCCTAAAGTTATACAGCTAGTAAGTTTCTAAGGCCAAATTTGAACTCAGATATTTCTAACTCCAAACTCAGTGCTCTGTCTACACTGATCCACCTTGCTACTCCAATAATTCTGCCAATTATTTCTGCTTTCAAGCCATAAATTCTGCTTCTACAATTCTTCCTTCTTTTTTAAACCATTCAGGAACAAACTGCTGTGGTTCCATGCTCTAATGCAAGGCTCTTCTACCTCATCAGATATGGACTTGATTAAATGACTAAAAGGTCATATTCTCTTCTATTGTGAATATCTTCCTTGTTGTTTTATCTGCTTAGGTTCAAGGTCTTTGACTTTTTCTGAGATCTTTGGTGATTACATTTTTTCCCCCTTATATTCCCATGTTGCTTACTTTCTGGTTCCTTACCCTTTGATGACAGTTTCCCTGGGAGCCAGACCTAAAAATCATCAAAGCCTCCTCTCCTACTAAGCAATTCACTTTTCACTGGTCTCACTATCTGTCACAACTGACTTCTAGGGTAACAAAACTGACCCCATTTTGATAGCAGTCCCCTTTCCTCCAGGCTTAGTGGATCATCATATATGTCACATACTCTGGCATTCTGCCTCAGTTCCCTCTGTTCTTCAATTCTCTCACCAATTATTTTTGAAACACAAAGTACTGCCATGCTGCAGTTCTATCCAGAGCAAGCTTATACCTTTTGGTTTTCTCCTGCACTAGGAGGAGAGGAACAGAAGACTTGAGTTTGGTTGCAAGCCCATGGGTTGGCTTGTACAGCCCAGGGGCTGTACAGCAGGAGTTTGATAACTGATGGAGGAGAGGGTACTAACTGTGCTTATTAGGGGTTAGAAATTAGCCTTCTCTGCTATTAGTTCATCATGTTTCCCCTTTTAGGTGTTGGCACCTTTGACCATGAAGACAGTTGAAGTAGTTTTGTCTCTTCTTATTTTAGAGAGGTTTGAGAGGAGATGAGGATTGCAGAAAGTATCTAGTCTGTTGGTCTCATGACACAGAAGTCCCAGAAACCATGAATTCTTGGATCAATTCACCATCTCCTCCTCCTTCTACTAGTTGCATTATAAGAATTGGCATATGCTACAATTCGTTTTATGATTTAAGGCTAAATGTGAACTCACAGAATCAACACATTTCAGAGTTGGAATAGATCAACCCACATTCCAAATGAGCAAATTCTAATTTGCTGTTCTGGCTAAGGTACATGCATCTTACCAGGCAATTAAATGCCTAGTACATAGTAGATGTTTAAATACTTATATAAGTATAAATTATATAAATATATATTATAAACATATTATATAAATTTATATAAATATAAAAACTAGTTGTTTCTTTAAATGTTTGTTTAAATATCAACTATAATAAGACAAAATGAGAGGTATACTAGAGGAATCTTTTTCAGATATAGACTGTACTAGATGGCCTCTAAGTTCCCTTCCAACTCTAAACCTTTATGAAATGTAGCTTTCATAAAATATGAGGCAGCAACCTAGATGATACGATTCAAAGGTCATGAGATAAGAGGATTACAAAGTCTAAAGGGACTTCTCATAGATTAACTAGTCCAACTCCTAACCACAGCATGAATTCTATCTACAATAACTCTGACACGTGGTCATGTAGCTTTTTTTTTTTGAGGCAATTGGGGTTAAACAACTTGCTCTGGGTCATATAGTGTGTGAGGTGGGATTTGAACTCAGGTCCTCCTGACTCCTGTGCCAGTGCCCTATCCATTGTGCCACCTACTTGCTTCTTATCTAGCTTTTCTTGAAGGTCTCTGAAACAAGGAGCTTTCTCTTCCTCAATACAATATATTATATGGAAAAAAACCCTGGACCTGCATCCAAATTGGAGTTCTGTTTACTGACTACCTACATAACCCTGGATAAGTCACTAGACTTCCCTGGGTTTCAATAACTTCACCTTTAAAATAATAAAAAAAAAAAAAGATAAACTTGCTCCAAGAGGCCCTTCCAGGTCTAAATCCCATGCTAATGCAACTGATTCTACTTTTGGTCAGCTCTGATCATTAGAACTCTTTTTTCCCCTTATATTGAGTTGAAATCTGTTTCCTTGCTTTCAGGACATTAGCCCTAGTCCTTTGTCTCAAAAGAACAAAGATCACAGATTTATTAAAGTAAGTTCTAGTTCTTCTATACTCCAGGGTCGAGAGGAGAAAGCTCAGTTCCTCTCCATATAATAGTTTTTCAAGTAAGAGCTACTGACTTTATCATTTCATAATGAATCAATTTATTTCTTTATTTATTAATTTAAAAAATCTTTATCATATGAATATGTACAATCTTCTTTCACATAAGATTTTGTCATGATAAGGCACAATAGAATTGAAACACAAACATTTGTATATTCTACAAACGTCAAGCTTAAGTTATATTTTTTTTCACATAAAAGGTTGATAGTACCATTTCCTCTTGTTCCCAAAGAAAACATTTTTATCTTTCATGAATTGATAGTTGGGCAACTGAATCCTTTTTTTCCCATGCTTGCCCTTTAGGATGTTATGGAATCCTTGATTCAAGGGGGACATTAGAGATAATATAGCCCTCCTATAATACCTGAAGCTTTAATGTCCTCTACAACAGTGGCATCAAACTCAAATAGAAACAAGGGTCACTTACCTGTACAAAAGTATCCCTATGAGCTGCATTTTAACTTAGTTTTAAAATGTAACATTATGTGTTTTATTATATTTTAATTTATTTTGTTAAATATTTCCCAATTACTTTTTAATCTGGTTCATGCATAGCTGACCAAGTGTTTTATCCCTCTTCTCTGCAACATCTCCACGATTTTCCACTTGAAGACTTCCATTGACCAAAGTACTCACTTCCCTGTATTGGGCTGTTCTGTCTAGCATGAAGTGCAATGTATCATGAATCTAATGTGTATGGTGGGACTTAACCTACTGAGGAAATAAGAGCAAGGTAATCTACACATCCCCGTTGTTAAGCTTGTATAGAGGATTTATCTGACAGCTCATTAATTTCACAAGAACAGAACAAGACTGATCATTCTTTACCTTTTGCTCTTCATATGCATCCTTTAGGCAAACATAATTTGTCATTGCCCTCATTGCTATAGGTAGTTTTCCAATTGCTTTCAAATCAATGGGCTTTTTGTGAGCTGATATAATAAGTGTGTTCATCCACCAATATGTGGCCTTTGAAAGCAAATTCACAAATGGTTGAAGAAATCTGACACCTAGATCTTGAAGGTCTTCAGGAGGCTTTACTTTTTGAGGCTTCATAAAAAATACGTATCTCTGTAAAGAGAAAAAAAAATATTACCAAAGAATGTCAGGTGATGCAAATTCCTTACCCATGTATCACTCAGATTAAATATATTTTACATTTGATACATTTTTGGAACAAAATTTTTTTTGGTAGTGTTTTGCTTCTGGCTTATTATGGTGGTGCCGTTGCGGTTTTTTTTTGGGGGGTAGGTAAGTGAAGAACTTCTGGTATATAAATACCATGAAGATCAGAAATAAATCTGCAACTTAGAATATTAAGAAAGTTGCCTCTGGGGCAGCTAGGTGGTGCAGTGGATAGAGCACTGGCCTTGAAGTCAGGAGGACCTGAGTTCAAATCTGGCCTCAGACCAAACACATTTGCTAGCTGTGTGACCCTGGGCAAGCCACTTAACCCCAATTGCCAAAAAAAAAAAAGTTGCCTCTGGCACTAAGAGGTTAAATGATTTTGCCCATGGTCACCAAGCTAGTATGTGTCACAGGCAGTATCTAAACCCACATCTTCCTGACACCAAGAAAAACTCTATCCATAAGACATGTCCTCTCAGTCACTTTGAACATTTTAATTGATCAAAAAAAACAATAATCACAGTTCATTAGTCCTGTAGTACCTTATAATTCATAAGGCACTTTTGTTGCAACAACCTTGGAAAGGCCATTACCATGTCAGTTTTACCAGTAAGGAAACTAAGGCTGAGGAAATTGGTAGACTTGTCCAGTCGACAGCTAATGCATGGCAAATAAGGGACTCAAGCCTAGGTCTCCTGCATTCAATCAGGAGGCAAGCAGGTGGCACAGCAGGTAGAGTGCTGGGCCTGGAGTGAGGAAGACCTGATTTAAATCCAGCCTCAGCCACTTTCTTGCTGTGTGACCCTGGGTATGTCACTTACTCTCCATCTGCCTCAGTTACCTCAACTGTAAAATGAGGATAATAGTATCTCCCTTCCAGGGTTTGGGAGGATCAGTGAGATAATATTTGTATAATGCTTAGCACAGTGCCTGGCACAAATAGAGTAGGTACTTAATTAATGTTTCTTTCCTTCCTTGCTACTATTTTGTTGCTTGGTCATTTTTCAGTTGTGTCTGACTCTTTGTGACTCTGTCTGGGGTTTTCTTAGAAAAGATACTGGAGCATTGGTCATTTCCTTCTCCAGCTCATTTTACAGATGAGGAAACGGAGGCAAACAAGGTTAAGGGACTTGCTCAGGGTTATACAACTAGTAAGTGTCTGAGGCTGGATTTGAACTCAAGTTCTCCTGACTCCAGGGTTGGTGCTCTATGCACTGAGCCACCTACCTGTCTCTTGGAGTCCACAATAGTCCTCCAGAAAGGCTGTAACCAGATTTGGCTTCACTAGGTCTTTGTCCTTCACCAACTATTATGGGTTCTTTGATATTTTTATGGCAGGGAATATTAATGATACAGGTAAGTGTACTTTCACATAGGGAGGTAGAGTAGTATCTCACTGAAGTCCTATTTTATTGATTCTTCTCTGGTAACACAGCCAGAAGACCCCTGGGAACTGGCTAGTAAGAGACTTGTGTATACACTCGTAGGCATGGAAGTTTCTAGTTGTTCCATATAAACAAGCAGGACAAAGAAATGTAAGGCAGGAGAACTTCAAAAAAGAGGCAACATGCCACAGGCAAACCTAGACCCAAAATATTTGATGGGTATTTTGGAGCTTTTGAGCTTTTGTTTTGTTTTTGTTTTTTGATGATGATGATGATGATGATGATGATGATGATACCTTATCCTTGACTTGAGGAAACTAGGCAGCTTAATGGATAGAATGCTGAACTTGAAGTCAGGAAGACCTGACTTCAAATCCTGGATCAAACATACTTATTAGCTATTTGGCCATAGTTAATTCAATTAATTTTTCATAGTCTCATTTTCCCCATATGTAAAATGGGGATAATAGTACCTACCTTTAAATTTTGATGTGAGGATTTAAATGAGATAATATATATATAATTTACATATTTTACACTTGACAAAACTGAAATTATTCTGTAAGTGCTAGCTATCATTATTATTATTATTATTAATGATTTAACCTCATAAAGGGAATTTCACCCCATTTTAAAGAGACATAAGCAATGTCAGAACAAAGACCTCATCAGTGGAGCAAAAAGAACTCAGGGCATTATTCGGTCAAACCCTCTGTATTTATTCCCTGTTTGCTCCTATTTGGCAGTGGCTCCTACTCTAATTGATAAAAAGGTCCAACTGATTGGTTCACCTTTCAATGCACTTCAAACTGCAACCATTCAAATGTTTTATCTAATTGGACATTAATTTCGCTTAAGCTCAATTTTATAAAATCAATTCTGCAGGTTCCTTCAACAATAGCCATTTCAGGTCTAAGCTTCTCTGTTCCATATAGCTGATGATATAAAAACAAGTACTTAAATGTATGATGATGATTTTTTAGTGAAAGTCATTTTTATTTTTATTCACATGAAATGAATCATAAGATCACAGATCTGAAGCTGGCCGAGACCCGAGAGAATATCTAGTTCGTTCTGCTCATTTTGCAAATGAGGAAACTGAAGCACAGAGAGGTAAGAATTAATCCAATATCAAGTGGGCAGTAATACAATGAGCCAAGATTTGGACCCAGGTCCCATGACTCCAAATCCAGGACCCTTTCCCTTGTACCATAATCATATATACACCGCATGCACACACAGACACACAAATTATCTGGCTAATAAATTTTTTTTTTAGTGATTCAGTTTTCTTAAAGCACATGCATATTTATAAATATATAATGATTTAAAGACTATATATGGCATCCCAAAAGTCTAAGTGCAATTTTAAGTTGTAATAACTTAAAACTTAAATAACATAGCTTTACCAACGTAAAGCTCAAAACTGCAGTATATTTTGAGCTCTTTAGATTTTTAAAGATTTTTAAAATCAGATTTAAGTTTTAGATTTTTTTTGGTTTTTAGATTTTTAAGATTTTAGAGATGGCTCTCTACCTTTTGTCAGCTAGGTGGCACAGTGGATGGAGTACCAGACCTAGAGTCAAGAAGACCTGAGTTTAAATCTGGCCTCAGATACTTACCAGCAGCGTGACCCTGGTCACATCATTTAACTTCTATTTGCCTCAGTTTCTTTAACTGCAAAAATGGGAATAATAACACCACCTACTAACTTGCAGAATTGTTGCAAAGATCACAAATAAGATAATATTTTTAATGAGCTTAACACAGTGCCTAGCACCTAGCTGGTGCTTAATTAATGATGTTTATTCTTGCTCCTTCCCTTCTCCTTTCTCTATCCAATTCAATTCCTGGGCACACTTAAAATCCTGGTAGAAGGTAAGGGGAAAGAAGGGACGGGAACACTAGTCAAAGAGAATAACGATAAAGAGAAGTCTCTGAATATGTATTTCCTGGTGAAAAAAAAGTCATTTAATACCTCCAAAGATATTGCTTTAGCCAGAAGTTGAGAAAAGGAAATAGCTAGAAAAGGTTGATGAATAATATGCTAGCAGGCACACTGAGATACTATAAGTGAAGCTATGAATCAGTTCAACGATTCTGGAAAATAGTTTGAAATTATACTATACCCAGTGCTGCCTCCATTAGACAAATGTCCCTAGGAAGTCACAGTTATAAAGGCTAGATATCTACAAAAATATTTATAGCTTGACTTTTTGGAATAGCAGAGAACTGGAAGGAAGGTGAATATCCACCCATCAACTGAGTAATGGAAGAACAAGATATGGCATAGGAATGTAATGCAATATTATTATGACACAAAGACAGATATGGAGAATTCAGATAATCTTGGAAATTCAGTTATTTTCAAAGTATACCTACTGGTAACTCACTACAAAACAGTCTAACAGGAGCTGGAATTTAATTCACCTAGATCTGATTCATACTTTGTCCAAGGTACTAAATAACAGAATTATCAGGTGCATACTATATAATGTGCAACACAGCATGGGCCCTGAGGACATGTTACAGAGATGCCATAGCAAGATAATACCTAACCGCAAGAAAAAGCTTGCTTGGTCCTGGTCCTTTGTAACTTTGTAAATAATTGCTTTTTCCATGAATGATTCTCTCTCTCTCTCTCTCATTCCCTGCCATTCCAGTTTCAGAATAACTAGGTTATTCTGATCAGAATCAAGGATACCTATGAAATGAAACAAAAATCATAAAATACTTACCCTAACTCGAATGACATTGATCTCCACAGCCATCAATAATCCATTGAGGATAACCATCATTCCCGTGATGCAAAGCGAAGTTCAGATACTCCCAAACCGAGCTGACAGTACTTAATTAATTTTATTGTTTTTGTGATAAAGGCCATGACCCAATAAAGAAAGAGGGCTGAAAAATGCAATAACAAACATGAGTCCTAATTTTAACTTCATGAAGGTTTAAATATGCAGATAACAATTTTCTATACAGTATATTCAACTGTTCAACTGAATCTGTAATGCAGGTTGCAACCCATCCTATGTGGTTCTTGTCTTCCCATAAACTCAGTACAAAGGATCCATCCAGTGTTGGGCATCTCCCTCACTTTCTTTCAACAATGTAACCACGCCAAAGAAATAACTAAGGGTGTTCACTTGCTATGCTCACTCTTACCATGTAAGCAATACAACTTCCTTTTCAATCACATATTATTTTAGCTACATCTATTATTATTCCACTTCACCTTACTCTTCAATGCCAACTCACTGCAGCTTGCTCATGTCAAATGTGTGCCTCTCCTTCTACCTACAGGTGATACCAAACTTCAATTTTTTTGAAATTATAATATTCCATAAATATTCTGTTTCTATATAATTTTATATAAAAATAATAGATCACTATGATGATCATCAATCACTGTGTGCACACTATATATGCCTTGAATTTTTAAAATGATAATACATTAAATCATTATTTTTAAAATCTTTATTCTAGAATTATCTCCATCCATATGGATGAATGTGAAGATCGGATACATATGTGAGCACATTCAGATGAGACATTTAAGGATGGTCAAGTATGATTTGGCATTCTTTTGAAATTATTTCACTTTCTAGCATCCTTGCATATTTTAAGGAACTCTGATTTCTTAAAATACTCAAAACCTGACCTCTGGAAGTTGTTGTTGTTGTTTTTTGGTAGTAAAACAGATGTGACAATGCCTTTGCATTTGGAAGACTTTCTTTAAAGATAAATGGGATGAATTTATAAATGAAGATAGCCCCTAGCAGTAACAGAAAGAATGACAAATTGGGGAAAGAGTTCTATTTAGCTCCTTATTTCCCACTTATTGATAAATCATCTTGTTGCTATATAAAAAACTTCCACCAAATATAAAATGAATCCCTAAAATTAATCAACAAAAATGTATTAAGTGCCAGGGACTGTGCTAGGCATTGGGGATACAAATACAAAGAAAATGAGATCTTCTTGAAAGTAAATCTACATGGAGGTGCAGCTAGGTTGCACAGTGGATAGAGCACCAGCCCTGGAGTCAGGAGGACCTGAGTTCAAATCTGGCCTCAGACACATAACATTCACTAGCTGTGTGACTCTGGGCAAGTCACTTAATCCCAATTGCCTCACTAGACAAAAAAAAAGTAAATTTACATAGAGAAAGGGAAGCAAAGAGGGATTTAATAATAGAGAGCTGCAAAATCAGTGAGACCTGGGTTCAAGTAATGACACACCCTGGCTGTGTGGCCCTGGGCAAGTCACTTAATCACTCAGTTTTCCAGGCAATTCTCTAAACCTACAAGTTGCAGAGAAGGTACTGAGTTGCATTGGTAGAGGAAGTTCCTGTACACCAATGAAACCACAAGTGTGTGATCTTCCTATCTTCTCATATGACTATTTTCACTAGCACCCATTGCATTTCCAAGGAAGTATTTTTTTTAAGTCTAGATTCAAGCGATATTTTTCCTGCCAATTAAAACTGTTATGGTAGAATAATGAAGTTCTATGTCATTTTAGAGGTCTTCTCATCGAGCATGGTTTCCCTACCTGTCACATTAAAATATGATTATACATTATATTCAAGCTTTTTTAAAGATTGAGTTAAAGAAAAGGTGTGGCTTAAACTCAAACCAACATAGTACATTTGTCTAAGCAGAGATGATACCAACAGTTTCATCTTTCAGCCCCTGTAAGAAGCCTGGATTAAGCATTAGGAGACCTGAGTTCAAGCTCTGTTCATTGGAATGCTATTCTGTATGAGGGATGGGATTCAAACCCAATTCTGTCCTGACAAGCCCAGGGCTCTTTTTATTATGTCGTACTGCTTTCAGCTGGTATTATCTATGCTTAATGCCACTGTCCTGGGGGCTTAGAACCAAAAGTTGCAAGAAGACACAAAGCAGGTGGAAAAGAAAGATTGACTAGGAGTGTCATGTTTTTTAATATGTGCAGTGTTTTGCTTGCTGTGTACCCATGAACATAAGTAATTCTTTTGCAAAAATAGAGAATCTGGGAAGAAAACAATGGGAAGCTTGTCTTATTTCCAAAGTCTCAGAGGGCATCCTATCAGAAACAATCAATCCTCCAAGTCTTAAAAGGGAAAACTGGTTTGAATGCGTGAGGGCAATTTTTAAATTAGATGCTTTATTGAAATCATATTAGATATCAGTGCAGCTACATAATATTTGTTTTGTACCTATTTATAGCTAAATTAACTGATTCTAATAAATAAGATATAACTTTTTTCTTTTTTATTATTGATTTTGGAGCATTGGGGAGGGAGAAAATGAATTTTTTAAAAACACTTCATGTATCTATATTTTTTAAACCACCACACTTACCTAAAAGCAACTTAGGAAAGTTTGATGTTTCAATATTGTGATAATAAACTATTGATGTAGTAGTGGCCACAAATCCCATGACAGCAGGCATGAAGAGATGAAGGTGACGAGATTCCATGTGTCTAAAAGGAACAGTGAAATATCAGTGCTTAAGGTTTATATTGCTAATCCTTTCATTTTGCTTCATTAGTGTTCATTTTGGTTTCTCAATACATTTCCTGAGTGAAAGCATTGTACTATATATGGCAAGATATACCTACACATCTCCTGATGGGTAGTCTGATAATTAGCAATCCAACTTTTAATAAAAATAAACACAACTTGTAAGTTTCTTCAGCTATAGTATCTTGGGGATGTGTTTGTTATTATGAAATCTTTCTATCATCCTAGTTTGTACTAAATTATCCCTTTTCTAGCCTCCTCAGCTAGTCATGCCATTTATGTGTTCATTTTATCTCCCCAAGGATCTGTGTTGTAATAACAGCTTACTCTATCTTTTAGCTTTGTTGTTTAATCCAGTCCCAAAAACATAATATGGTGCTGGGCAAATAATATAAGCTTAATAAAATTCATTGGGTGATTGATTTCAAAGGATTGCTCATTGCCTCTAAATTTTTGGGTTTATTCAATCCATCAGACAATGTTAAGGGTGTGAGTCAACTAAATTAACAAACTGATTGCCCCACCAATCAAAGGCATTGCAAAAGGAAGTCTGCTGTGACTGACTGAGGATTAACGGAGGTATGACTTGGTCATACCCCATGAAGTTTGCATGGAAGCAGTAAACTAGTTTGGAAACGGGAATTTGAGTATGTTACTATATATTGGCCAGTCAGTTTAGCCAGCTCTCTGAGAGGAACTGTTTGTAGAGAGGAGGAAAATTCCAGCCTTGGCCTTGGTTTCTTTTTCTGGCACTCTCAGCCAGGGAAGGACCTTGTGAACTTCAGAGTTATAGGAATCTGGACTTCCCACAAACATCTTAGTCCTAGAAGCTTCCTAGAATAGTTGATACAGTGAAGAAAGGCTCCATGAGGACTCTAGAAAGAGCACTGCAGAGAAGCTACATCATGCCTAAAAAGGACTTTGGGAACATCCCACAAAGGAGAGAAAGGGTCTTCTTGCAATCAGGAGATGTGAATTACTCCTTGACCACATATAATCTCTAAGCCTGAGCCCATTTCCCCCAGGATTCTGTATATATTGATGTAAAAGTGTCATAGATACCTGTCATATCTATGGAGAAGGAAAGAATTATGACCAAACAAGAGATAGAGAACATTATGAAATGCAAAATGGATAATTTTGATTACATTAAAAAGGTTTTACACAAACAAAGCCAATGCAACCAAGATTAGAAGGGAAGCAGAAAGCTGGGAAACAATTTTTACTGCCAATGTCTCTGATAAAGGCCTCATTTCTAAAATATATAGAGAACTGAGTCAAATCTATAAGGATTAAAGTCATTCCCCAACTGATAAATGGTCTAAGGATATGAACAGGCAATTTTCAGATTAAGTAATTAGAGCTATCCATAGTCATATGAAAACATTCTCTAAATCTTTACTGATTAGAGAAATGCAAATCAAAACAACTCTAAAGTACCACATCACACCTATCTGATTGGCTAACATGACAAAACAAGGAAATGATACACCTTGGAGTAGATGTGGAAAAATTGGAACATCGGTGTGTTGTTGGTAGAGTTGTGAACTGATCTAACCATTCTGGAGAGGAATTTGGAACTATCCCCAAAGGGCTATAAAACTCTGCAGACACTTTAATCCAGCAATACCACTACTAAGTCTATATCCCAAAGAGATCATAAAAGGGGGAAAGGACCCACGTATACAAAATATATATAGCAGCTCTTTTTGTGGTGGCAAAGAATTGGAAATTGAGGAGATACCTATCAGTTGGGGAATGGCTGAAAAAGTTGTGGTATGTGAATGTAATGTAATACTATCATTCCATAAGAAATGATGAGCAGGCCAATTTCAAAAAAACCTGGAAAGACCTGCATGAACTGAGGCTGAGTGAAGTGAGCAGAACCAGGAGAACATTGTACACAGTAACAACATTGTGCAATGGCCAACTTTGGTAGACTTAGCTCTTCCCTGCAATTCAATAATCTAAGACAATTCCTAAAGACTCATGATGGAAAATGCTACCTACATCCAGAGAAAGAACCATGGAGTCTGAATGCAAATCAAAGCATACTATTTTATCTCTTTTTTGTTGTTTTTTGTTTTTTCTTTCTCATGGTTTTTCCCTTTTGTTCTGATTCTTTCAGAACATGACTAATGTAAAAACATGTTTCATATGATCATAGCCTATACCAGATAGCGCGCCATGTTGGGCAGGGAGTAGAAGGTGGAGAGATGGAAAAATTTAGAACTCAAAATCTTATAAAAGCGAATGCTGAAAACTAAAAATAAATATTTTTTAAAAGCTTCATAGACTTTTGTGCAGAAGTCTTGTAGCAACGTTCTAAACACAACTTTCATAAATAACCCTTTCAAAAAGCTAATTAAGTCTGGCTGACTACTTGTTATCAACTGACGATCATGGTTGGGGTGAGGGGAAGCACAAGGTCAGGGCTTGTGAGCTACAGCATTAGAAAACCTCCCCAACCCCTCAAGGCTACTTCTAGAACCCTGAAGGGAGATGTAGCATTTTTGCCCTAGGGCCCATGTGCTATACAATGATGCCTCAGCTAACAAATCTCTTGGAAGCAAAACTTCCTTTAACAAAGTCAGCATTAACAAAGAGATAGCTGACCTCACTTCTGAATAAACAACTGAGGGGACAAAGCAGAGGTCCTATCTCAAGAACAAATGTCTGTAGGAAAAGTGAGGTCATAGACCTAGTTAAGGTAAGGTGCATACTCCTGGTACTTAAACCATCTGGTCACATGTGAATATGTAAGAAAAACACAGCTTAGAATTCAGCCATGAGCAACAGCAGTGTTAATGGATGAAGGAATAATAGACTGATAAAAGGAAGTCCTGTGGGGTCTACGGGCCAGGCAGATTCACACACATGTCGATGGCATCCTAAAAATTCTGAAGCTGGTCAAAGAGAGACTAATACTTATGACTTTATGTCTAATAATGTAACTTCTGACAGTGGCTTAATTATACAGTATCTCTATTCATTTCCTAACCAAAAATTTAAGTTTTGCCCCTTAACTAAAATTTTAGAAGTCTCCCCTTTCCCTCTTAATTTCAAAGTAAATAGACCAAGGGATAAAGTTGACTGCATGATAATACATTTTCAGAATAGGGATTTAGTACCTTTTTTTTAAATAACTTTAAAGTTATGCTCAGATTAGCCAAATACATGAATGTTTACTATATGAACATAATGTTATAGACAACAGGCAAAACTTTAATATTTTTATAGTCCCTGAATTTAACTGCTACAACATTTATTAAGAAAATAACTCAAGGTTATTTTCAGGACTACAAAATAGCATTCACTCGATGCATGATGAAAATAATTTCATAAAACACAATTTAATGATAAAAATCTAATTCTAGAAAGCTTTTATCACTGGTGTAATTCTGTAAATCATATCATTCTCCTGGCCTATTAGACCATATCCAACTTTTTCACTTAAGAACTAAAGATGGAGGAAATAGAAGTGTATGTGCATTACAATGTGTGTATAAAAAAAGGCAAAGGAATCAAAAATTTTGAGTAAGGATAAACACATAATACAGAAAGAAGAAATATACAGATAGCAAAGGCTTCTATATGCATGTATGTGTGCATATAAGCATGAAAATTAAAGAGAGTGAAGCCAGAGTTACATACTGTAGTGAGTAGGAGAAGAAAGGGACAAAGTAAGTGACAAGTGTTCAAATCAAAGATGTACTAACATAAATTACTAAATAAATCATGTCTCAGGAAAAAGATAAAGACATATTTAATGCCATGGCATAACAGGATACTAGTGTTCCATCTGTTACTCCTTATGAACTATACCTAGAAGATTCTACCTTTTCTGTATGCACTCAGCTACATTCCACATTTATCTATCTAATAGAACATCATGATATTGTTAGCTAAATATTGACTTACGCATCAGAAACAATGCCCTCCGCTATTTCACAAACATGTACAAATAGGAGAGCAAATGTAAGAATCCATCTCAGGTTATGTCCAGGGAAATGAAGCCATGTGTTGTGATGAATTTGTACTTTCGAACTTTGACTTCCCCACCCTGAAAAAGGAGAAAAAGGAAAAGTTTAAAAAATGTGGTTAGAATATAGAAATAATATTTAGCCAATTATTATAAATTATTTCACTAGTAATATAAAAGCTATCATTGAATTGATACTATTCAATTAATGACATTGGTATCTCTCAAAAATAATTGCTACTTATTTCTTTGAGTATATAGAGTTCACATTTATCTCTATTAAATGCCTTTTTCTTACACTTGGGTGAGAGGACAAGAAAGAAGCTCACTAAGGAAATACATAACTTTTCCTTCACCATTATAAAAATGATTAATTACTCAATATATATGAAGAAAATATCCTCAATTTATGATCAATATCTTAGAACCTCTCATTAGCAAAGAAATCTAAATATATGGTATTCTATCAGTGATGGATGGAAAAACATTCTCACTTAGGAATCAAATAACACAATTTTGGAAGGAGGGATTAAGGCTTTCTAATAATAATTTATAATAATAATAATTAAATGAATTGATTGCATATATATTAAATACCTATTGAAAGGGAGTTGTAGAGAATGGTGTGCACCTTGTTTCTCCAGCTGCATCTGTATACAGCATTCATTTATCAGAAACAACTAATAAAGATCATCAGTTCATTAGGAAGCTCAGTAGAATAATAACTGTCATCATCATAGCTAACTTTTATATGGCACCTACTATGTACCAGACACTGTGCTAAGTGCTTAACAGTTATTATTTCATCTGATCCTTACAACAGCCCAGTGAGGTAGGTGCTATAATTATCCCCATTTAGACAAGCAAACGAAAGTGTCTTGCTAGGATCACACAGCTAGTAAGTGTCTGAGGCCACATTTGAACTCAGGTCTTCCTCACTCCAGGCTCTATCTACTGTGCCAACTAGAGCCAGAGCCTACTTAACGGAGTGTTTGCTTGCTATTTTCTCAACACTATGTTTAAGTTAATGTCAGATTTTATATTAATAATATTTTATATTAAAATCTCTACTTCCTGTGGAAGAAAGAAGGACTCTACTGGAGGACCCCACTGAAGTCCTAAAAGTTAGCACTCCACATACCTTCCTGCCACCTTCTAAATGGAGATAAAGTACCGCATTCCTTCAGTGGAGAGGTGGCATGCATTTAAACTATCTTTGTGATAAAATAATTTTTAAAAATCCAGCAACACTGTTTAGGAAGGAATTACTGTATAGTCACAAAGCATCACTATGATATTTATTAAAATATTTCATTCCTTGGCTTTCTCAAAAGTATTTTTTATTCCTATGTACTAATTACAATTTTTCATTTCTTATCTTCCCCTCAGATTTTAAATTCCTGAGGCCAGAGAAAACATCTGCTAAATTTCTCTGCAAATTTCTGAGTATGAAGCATAAGAAATATACTCAACTAATAGTTTCCAAATTTGAATACTAATAGCACTTTTAGTAACCCATACAATAAACGTTGCAGCTATATTTAGCTGAACACACTTATCTCATTCTTCTTGACACAACTTTCCATTTCAAACAATCCAAGCATTTCATTTAATTATATCATTGAGACTTTCTTTTAAGTTCTAAGTTTTCTAATATGGGTAATTTGATCCCTAAGTGAAAATATTTCTCCATCTATTTCAAGGACATTGCAACATTCTTAGATTCTCTTAATTATAGAGATCTCTTAAACTTTAAACATGAATTGGGAAGGCTTTTTCTGTTGTTGTGTCATTTCAGTCATGTCTGACTCTTCATGACTACATTTGGGGTTTTCCTGGCAAAGATAGTGGAGTGGTTTGTCATTTCCTTCTCTAACTCACTTTACAAATGAAGAAACTGAGGTAAATAGGGTTGTGACCTGTCCAGGGTCACATAGCTAGTAAGTGTCTGAGGCCAGGTTTGAACTGAGAAAGACAAGTCTTCCTGACTTCAGGCCCAACATCCTATCCACTGAGACACCTCACTGAAGGAAACTAGGTATTCCATTGGTTAGATCTTTCCTGTGTTCCTACCTGAAGGTAATAGATGCAATGTAACTGTGGAGGTACTAAAGTCTTATATTTGGATTCAAAACATCAACTTTACAAATATGAGTTGAAGAATCTGTGCCTAGAGAAAGATAACAGGTTTTTTAGTAGACCTCCAGATCCAAATGGGTCAGCAGTATGTTATGGCAGTCAAGAAAGCCAATAATACAATCTTAGAATTCATTTGGAGAAAGCACAACACCTAGGATAAAGGAAGCAACAATCCCACTGTATTCTGACCTATTTAGGTTACCTCTAGTTCAGGTTCAAACTACATCTTTTCTAGGAATATTTTGGGAAGGATATTGCTAACCTGGACAGTACCCAGTAAAGGTGAAGTTCGTGTTACTGAAGATTGGTTTAAGGAATTAAGAGCTGTTTAGCCCAGATAAGAGTAGACCAGTGTCTTCGAGTATTTGAATGACTGTCATACAGAGAAAAATTATTTAGCTTCAATCTTCAAGGTCATAAGGAGCCAAGCAGAACAAAGAGCAAAGGATGGAAGTTACAAAAAAAGACAAATTTAGCTTTGAAATAAGGAAAAACCTGAGCAATTTTTTAAAGAACAGAGAAGAAACTACAATAGCATTGAATTCTAAAATTAACTTAGCTGTTTACCTGTCCTGTTTCGTTATTTTGTATTCATTTCATATGTGTGTGTGTGTGTGTGTGTGTATCTAACTTTGTGGTTTCCTCACCAGTAGTCTGTAAACTCACTAAGATCAGAAGCGACTGTTTCGTTTCTATTTGTGTTTCAAATAACCCAGCACTGGGCGGATTCTTAATAAATGTTTGTTGAATTTAAGTCATAATGTAATGCATTCTCTTCAGTAGGTTAAACAGTCCCAACTCCTTTACCCTTTAGAACATCACTGAACCTACTCTCCTTTCTCATAATTTTGCTTCCTTTTCTTTAACTTTTCCTTAATTTCTCCATCATAATTCTACATCTTATTAAAATTATTTAACCTTTACTAGATCATATACTATAAACTGTGGGAAATTATATCCAAATTATATCCAAAATACCAGTCAGTTTCCCAACAGTTCTATTCCATATTTTGAGGAATAAAACTTATGCTTTATCAAAGCTTATCTATTGACATTAGATATGTTCATCAACATGAGATTACTTACCAATGAACAATATTGGAAAAGTAATAAATAACAGGAAGACATGAGGGACCAGGTTAAGGGCATCCACAAAACAGGCATTTTGTAATACACCTTCCTTGATGTCATAAGAAGAAATGTTGTTACCACAAAAAGAAAGGCTCATTTTTTCTTGTTGATTTTCCTGAAAAAAGAGAGAGAAACAAATTTAAAATCATAGTATAATACAGACTATTATTAAATTTTCCTGTGAAGTACTCAATTTTAGAGTATGAAAATATCTTGGAAATGTACAGATAAGGAAAAAGGCAAATACCTATAATAGTCTCTTACAGTTTCCTTAATAATTCTATTTCAGAGAAAATAGTAATCTATAGAACTCACTGATTTTGAGGAAGAAAAAGGATGGGGCTGCAAGGGGGGGAAAAGAGTATGTCAATTATTGAAGAGGCATACAAGGATGAAGATTTCAGCAAGTATGAATCCAATTTAGCTAAAACTATAACTGAAACACTTTATTTAAGAGCATAAAGCAGTTGAGTAGAGGTCCAATGGACACAATTCCACAGACACCAGTTTTCCTATCAGAAGGATACAAAGTATATTTTTTGTAGCAGTAAAGCACTAGGGGGAAAAAGTAGATGCCCATCTGTTGGGAAATGGCTAAGAAAAATGTGGTAACAAATGTATTGGCATGTTGTACTTTTAAGAAATGTCAAATACGATCAATACAGATAACCATGGAAAGAAATCCATGAACTGATAGAATGAAGTAACAGCCAAGAAAACAATATGCACAATGACTATAACAATATAAATGCCAAGAACCACCATTAGAAAACAAGTGAAATGAAACATTTGAAAATTATAATGAACAAGACTGGCCCCCAAACAGAGAAATGAGAAAACATCTTCCCCTAGTCCACTGCTGAGGTGGGAGGTTCAAGGATATGGTATTGGAAATATTTTCACATTTTTCATGTATTTCTCACTCTTGCTTATTTTTTCCTCTTCTTTTTTCCTTTGAAATATTTTTTTTGTTACATAGGATGACACTCTGGGAGAAGAGGAGGGACAGAAGGGAAAACTTAGGAGACGTAAAAATAAAATACATCAAAATTTCTTTTGAAAGAAAAAATCATCAAAAAAACGAAGCTGGTATTTTCACAAAGTTTTTCAAAATTGATTAACTTTTAGCTAAGCTGATTAAAGAAAGGTAAATCAAGTTACCAAAATTGAACAAAATAAATTCATAATAAAAATAGAACAAATCAAAAGGTTTAGCAGAATTAATACACACAGTTATATGATAGAGTAAGTAAGGTATATTTCAGTGTGTGTAAGGAGGATTTTGTTATTTCTTTTTAGATAATAGTTCCAGTACCCTAGATAATATTTCCCATGAATTATGATTGAAAACAATCTCCACTGTGCAGTCACAGTAGAAATATAGGGGTGATATAATGTACACCTGCATTGTGCTAGATCATGACGATATTGCTAAAGTTAACTTGTGACTTAATGTTGGCAAGATGCCTCATCTGTCTGTTGCCCTATAAATCAAGTGGACACTGATCACTAAGTGAGGAATCCATTTTGGAATTCAGGTAATGCACAAAGGAATGCATGTACCTGCTTTTATCAGCCCCCTTCAAAGCTTGGGGGGAATCTGTGTATTTGCCTCAACCAGCCTCCACTGAGGCTTAGGTGACCAGTAGCAGTCATAGCTCCTACCATTCTCACCTGTCCCTGTGTGAGAAGTGTGATTAGGGAATGCTGTAGGGTTATCAGCAAACCTGAGAAGACTAGACTAGAATAAAGTAACCCTATTTAACCCCTCCAAAGCTGTCTTCCTGTCTGATCAGATCAAAAGTCAACCTGTGCTAGAACACCTGTTAGTGTTAGGAGCCTCCTTTGTTCTCCTGACCAACAAATGGTTTTAACTGTGTGTTTACTTGTGAAACAGGGAGCCAAACCACGAATCTAAAAGGACATGGATGATACACTACAAAAACACCAAAAACAAAAATCTAAATTGACAGTCAAGTCAGACACCATGCTAAGCACTGGAGACATATGAAAAGCAAAAACAAGACAGTCCCTGCTGGAACTTATAGTCCAATGAGAGAAACAACATGCAAACAATTAGCTATAAACAAAATATATACAGGATAAATTAGAGATAATCTCAGAGAAAAGGCACTGAGATTAAGGAAAGCTTTGAAAGGTTTCTTGCACAAAGTAGGAGTTTAGCCAAGAAATGAAGGAAGACAGGGAAGCTAATACATAATGGAAGATTACAAGTACCACTAATAACATCTACCCTCAACAAACTGGCCAATAAACCCAATGACTCTCTAAAAGGAAAAGTCTCAAAAAAGTAAACTGGGCCAGAAAAGTTATATATAACAGAGGAAAAGAAAACTTAAATCTTTTCTGAGGTAAATCCTTACAGATCCCAAGGCCTTGTTGGCACCCTGGGACAGGCTATGGATATGAAAAAGGAAACAGAAAAGGAGTATCAAAATGTACCATTTTCAACCAGTAAGAGGTTTGTTTCAAGGCAAGACAAAAAAAAAAAAAGAACTAGGCAACTATCAACTAAATACAGTTTCTATTAAAATTATCACTCATTTCTACTTCACATGTAATTCTTTGATTTTTTAGGTTCAAATGGTCATAGCTAGACTTTAAATTTAATATTTTAAGTTCCATGGTATTAATGACTATGTTAATGACTTCATTTACCAATAAAATAATTTGGCAAATAGGCATAGAAAACTGTTATTTATAGTTAAATCAGGTAATTGTTGCTAATTAATTAGTTTCCATTTAACGGGGGAGAGAAATGTCAAGATCAATAGATTTCAGACCTCTAAAAGAAATCATGTTTTGTCATGGAATTGTGTCTATCATCTGTCTCAGAATAATATATATCTAAAGATCATAATCCTTGATGAAATATCTCCTAATTTATCTGGAATAAATCATTTTTCTTCCCTTTCCTGCTTTCTCTCACGTTTCCATTTCTTTTGATTGTGTCTATTAAAAGGAATCTGTGATAAGACTAAAGCTCTGATGCTCTATTTTACATGATTTATAGGACAATGTTTCTCATTCAAAAAAACTTGATATGTCCATAGTTTTAGAGGAGGCAGGGTTAAACATTTTAGACAATGATATACCCCAATATCTGAATTTAAAAAGAATACTGAGTACCAGAGAGACTTGGCAAGTACTTCACTTTTAGTCTAGTTGCCCCCAGCACTATTTGAGTGACCTATTCCCTACTAAAGCCTGTCCCAGAGAGAATAGTTTCATAGCCATTCCTAGCACTGGCTTGGCCCTGGTTACTACTGATATGAAAGCAGCATCTTACTGTAACTTTTCAAATGGAAAAAACCAAATTTAAATGAATAATAAGATATGGGTCAAAATTATTCATAAGTATATCTGAGGGAATTTTACAGAATTATTCACATGGATCTTCTTTTGTTTACAAGGGACTAAAAATATGAAGTCCTTCTGTAACAAAACAAGATATGCATATCTCAACAACCTAATCTCAGAAAGTGACAGTGAATAAGCCATAAAGAGACTTTATGAATGGGAAAAAATCCTATTTTGGATGGATTTTTAAAATCAAATTTTATCAATGAATGGGAAAATCGTGTTCTGGTTGGATTTACAAAAAGCCAAGATGGCAGAGTAAAAGCAGCAACTTGTGTGAGCTCTCCACTAAACCCCTCCGAATACATGTAAAAAATGGCTCTAAACAAATTCTAGAGCAGCAGAACCCATAAAAAGACAGAGTGAAACAAATTTCCAGCCCAAGACAACCTGCATGACTGATTGGAAAGGTCTATTACACCAGCCTGGGAGAGGAGCACAGTTCAGCATGGGCCTCACAAAGACCAGGCCTCAGGGAACCTGGAACAGGCCTCAGGGGACTGAATCACTGGGGAGCTGTGGTGGTTTCCAGACTTCTCAACCCACAAACACCAAAGACAACTTAGAAGGTCAGTGGGAAAGTTCTATCTGACCACAGAGAAAGAGGAGCTTGTTCCCAGCCCCAGTCCCAGCACAGCCACTGGTGGAGCTGCTTCCAGAGCTCTTGGTCCACAGACAGAGGGGGAATCAGGTGGCTGATCAGAGGGGAATTGCAAAGATCTCTTTGCTGGTGCTGAGGCAGGATTCTCTTACCTTGCCCATGCTTGGATCTGGGTCACAGTTTGGGGGGGGGGTAGTCCTGAGGCAAGGAGGAGTGCTGGTGTGGTAGAGCTTGTGGTAGATCAGAGAACAGGCCAGGAAAGGAGTAAATGCCTTGCCCTTTATCATACCACCTTGGAAGAACTGAAAATTTACAGGTCCCTAGAAGTATCTCTGAAAAGAGCTGTACAAACCCCCGAAGCTTGGGACAGTACATTCTCCACAGTGGAAGCAGACTCTTACCTTAACAAAGAGTTTAAAAACCAAGTAATTGGCTAGGATCATGAGCAAACCTCGCAAAAAGAGTCAGACTATATTATCTTACTTTGGTGACAAAGAAGATCAAAACATACAACCAGAAGAAGACAACAAAGTCAAAGCTCCCACATCCAAAGCCTCCAAGAAAAATATGAATCATTCCTAGGCCATGGACAAGCTCAAAAAGGATTTTGAGAAGCAAGTAAGAGAAGTAGAGGAAAAATTGGGAAGAGAGAGTGATGCAAGAAAATCATGAAACACTAGTCAACAGTTTGATAAAGGAGCCCAAAAAAAATACTGAAGAAAATAATACCTTAAAAAATAGACTAACCTAAATGGCAAAAAAAGGTCCAAAAAGCCAACAAGGAGAAGAATGCCTTAAAAAGCAGAATTGTCTGAGTTGAAAAGAAAGTCTAAAAGCTCACTGAAGAAAACATTTCCTTAAAAATTAGAATGGAGCAAATGGAAGCTAATAACTTCGTGAGAAATCAAGAAATTGTAAAACAAAACCAAAAGAATAAAATAATAGAAGACAATATGAATATCTCGCTGGAAAAACAACTGACCTGGAAAATAAATCCAGGAAAGATAATTTTAAAATTATTGTACTACCTGAAAGCCATGATCAAAAAAAGAGCCTAGCATCATCTTTCAAGAAATTCTCAAGGAAAACTGCCTGATACTCTAGAACTAGAGGGTAAAATAGAAATGCAAAGA